CGTATGGCGATGAGCTAGGCCGAATCCAACCTTTCTCCAGAAGGTCGTCGAGTTGTGCCCGAAGCAAACTTAACTCTTCCTCGCTCATTCGGTAGATGCAACCGCGTGGAGGTACGGCCCCGTCCTCGAGGATGATCTCGTGGCGGATGGGTCGATCCGGTACTACTCCGTGCGGGCCTTCGAACTCGTCGCTGTAGGCGTCGAGAAGTTCGGTGATGCGTGGATCCGAAGAYGAGTCCGTCGATGAAGCGTCATGGGGCGGGAGGGCGTGGAGAAAACACACCCCCATCTCCTCGATGTTGTCTCTAATGATGGAGGCTCGCATGCTTGCGGCGGATACCACGTGGCAATTGATCGAAGGGTGAGGAAGAGGTACCGTGCATGGAACTAGTACTACGTTCCGATCACGAATGTGAACGGTGTGGTGGAATAAAATCAACGGGTAGTCCTCGCTTCGCAGCCATGACATGGCCAAGATCATGTCGAATTTGGTGTCCAGAATGTCAAAAGACACCGCCTCACTTGCGTGAGGGGCAAAGTACACTGGGACGTTGTCAATGCACCGGTCGATTGACTTGTGCGTGTGACCGTCCGCCAATGTGACTTGCGTAGGCTGGGGCTTCCTCCGGACGCGTGGGCCAAGGTTGGCGCGCACCATGAAGTCCTGGCTGATGTAGTTGCGAGATGCTCCACAATCGATCAAAGCGCTGCAGGTCGCTTCTCCGATCTGAATGCGTACATATAGCAATGGTGCATCGATGTCGTCGTACCGTTGCGTCTTGAACTCGCGGTCGATCTTCGCAATGTAGGCGTGAAGGTCGACAACCTCTACTCCGGCGTCCATCAACGGAGTCGGTACTGCAGTGTGCAAGTAATCCCGCAATTGTGCCATGAGCATGTTGCAATGCGGTTTCGGCAATCGTCCGGTCAAGGGAACGGGCATCCACTAGAAGTCTGTGAACGTCAATGGGTCGAGTTCTTCAAGTCTTGACCATGACGTCGAATCCCCGGCGATAGTTCGCAGCGAAGCTGCCGAATTGGTTGTCGATGGTGATGAAACCGTGCATGCGGTTGATTGTTGCACGTGGAGCGGTTGGTCCAGCGGTGGAACCAAGTGGACAGCATAGTCCTCGTAAGTGTATCAAGAACTTGCGACATTCGCATCCTCCCCAGATGTGCAGGAGGCCGCTAGCAAGGCGGTCGAATCTGGCGGAGTGGAAGGTGGAGTCGCCTCACCTTCCGCGGAACTCAGTTTCCCGAGTTGAGACGGGGTCGCACATCCTCCTTGGCCTGATCCTAGCAAAGGGAGGTCTTGTGCTTGGTGTTGTTGCACTAGTAGCAGCAGCCGTAGCGGCCGTGGTACTTGTACTCCGCCTCGGTCAAGCTAAACTTGACCCATGGTGGTGCTGGCTGTCCATTTCCGGCCTGCGATGTTGGTTTCGCCTTCCCATTGTTCCGGGCCTTGTTGTTGCTTCGCGGTTGGACAGCAGACACCTGATCTCCGTCACGTGATGCTGGAGTGGCTGTTGGGTCTTCTCCACTGTCCGATTGGACTGCAGCAAAGTGCTGCGGTCGCGGACCAGTTCTTACCTTCTCCGCATAGGTTGGCTGCCATGTTGACTTCTCGTGTGCAGTTGACCTGTTGGTCTTGATAATCTCTCTCGCCTTGTCAATGATTTCGGTGAAAGTGGTGTATTGCTCTCGTTCACCAAGAGCGTGGCTCAATGCAGCACAGGACCTGTTGTAGAACTCACGGCGTAGATGCGTGAATGGCAAGTCCAGATTGGGCACTGCCACAATCTTCTGCCATTCCGTGAGCCAGTCTCGTGTTGCAGTGTTGCCCTGTGACATGGTGAAAAGACGGTTGATGGCGAGTGTCGGCGCGTCGTCGACGATGAACCGTTTCTTCCACAGCCGTGTCAATTCCTCCCATGTCATCTTGTCCTTCAAGTCTGGTACGTCGACGCCGTGGGAGGTTGCCAGGTGGGTCAACCAGGTCTGGCAGCCGCCCTTTGAGTTCATGAACAGGGCGCCGATATACGCATGCTTAGCGATAGGCAGAATCATGAGTTGCGTCGTGAATGCTTCCCACCAGAGGACCGGATCCTGCTGCGTGTAGTCGTCGAACTTTTCCAGTTGGAAAGTTGGCATCTTGTACAACTTAGGATTGCCATCCGTGTTCGTCGACTGCAGCTGCTGGACCTCGGTCTTCAAAGTATGCAGCTGACTGCTGATGGTGGTCGGCGCAGCAAAGGTGTTGATGTCGCCGAGCATTGCCACTACGTGGTCAACGCGTTCCTCCAGTTGGCGGCGAGAGGGTGCACTGCTGGAAGCACCAGCATCTGGTCCTGGTACAGCCTGTTCCAGGTCCAGTACACGGGCATTGAGTGTCAGTGTCGCATCCTCGTGGCTCTGCACCATCCGGCAGAGTTCGCCAACTCCTGGTGCTGTTGCTTCAGACCCTGGAACAGTTGTTGCAGTTCCTGGTTTTGTCTCTCCAACTCGGACCGTTGGTAGTTGCAAGCATACAACAACCGTTTCACGAGTTTGGAGAGGAACTCCTTATGCTGCTCTTCCGGTGTTGCCTCGTCGCCGTTCGGTTCAAAGTGCCAGAACTTGAGTTTGTTGATGTTGTTGGCTTCATGCCGCTGCAACAGATCCTGGGCTTCCTTGCGGCGAGCCTGGGCATCTGTGTCTGCTTCGGCCTGTAGCCGGAGCTTCTCTGTTGCTGCCGCTTCTTCAGCCTGTAGCTGGGCAGCCTTGGCTGCCAGCTGGCGTTGTTCCTCAGCCTCGATGAAAGCGAGCTGAGCTTGGAAGCGCTTTTTGTAATCGACAATGGGCTCATTGGCCAGTTGGCCTGGCAGGCCCGTCATGTTGCTGACGTGGCACTGCTGACGTGGCAATGTGTCTGACGTGGCACTTTGTCTGACGTGGCACTGCTTATGTGGCACTGTGTCTGACGTGGCACTGCTGACGTGTCACTGTTGACGTGGCCTGCCGACTTGTCACTGTGTCTGATGTGGCACTGCTGACGTGTCACTGTAGCCGACGTGTCACTGTTAGCGTGGCCTGCTGATGTGTCACTAGCTGACGTGTCACTATGTCTAACGTGGCACTGTACCAACCCGGAAATGCATGCAAAGGGTGGGTGGGAGGGAAAACGCAGGTAGGAAAACCAACCCAACAATACTTTCCTCCGGCCCTAATCAACAGATACAAATAAAATAAAAAAAATAAAAGAGGACTACTTCCTTTTTTTTTTTTTTTTTTATCTGTCGATCTATTATGAGTAGGACATGTCAGAAGAGTACTATGAACGAGATCTAGGCTAGGTTCCGCAAAGTTTCGGCTTTTACAAACTGCGGTCTTGAAAAAAAAAATTGCGAAATGGAGTAAAGATGCGATTTTCAGAAAAGAACGAACTCCAGTTTCTGAGAATATGGCAACCTCCGAATATGCCTAACGCAATATTGGTAGGCTTCGCAAGATTTCGGTTTTCAAAAAAAAAAATTGAGAGATAAAATGGAAATTCGATTTTCAGAAAAGAATAATTCCAGTTTCCGAGAATATGACCACTTCTATCGTTATCCCAATATGCCTAGAGAACGAAATACTAACTTCAGATATTTCAGCTATGTATGCGAAATATCAAGGAAACGAAAAGCAACTATCGGGAATTTTCAGACAAAACGAAATGCGATTTATCAGAAATTTTCAGATATTTGTTACGTAAAAACGAACTACTAATATCAGAAATTTTCAGGTAAAACGAAATGCGAATATCAGAAATTTTCAGATAGTTGTTGCGAAAAAAAAATAAATTCAGAGATTTGATGAAGTCCTACTTGCGTTACTAATGAGTGATCAATAGATCAGCAAGCTGGCTACTTGATTGAGTCGGTCCTCTGAATGAGAGGTCCGCTCCGATACCAAACTGTTGCATACTGTAACGTACAGACCAGAACAAGAACCGACCTCTCAATACAAAGTACAAGATAACACAGCGGAAGACTTAGATACCAATGATCCGAACAATCAATATTGCAATGCAGCCCTGAACATACATCATTATCATCGTTATCTGGTGTGAACGGGGTCTGGTGCTTCACACAAGAAGACTGCGCCAGCCCCAACCATACACAGACGAAGGAGGGGTTAGACGAAGAGGAGGGGAAGATGGGAATGTCGTCAACACCAAGTCTTCGGCACAAGCCCAAGTAGTCCCTCGTCGAAATGTCTGAATCCCAAATGTCAAGTCTGGATCCAATGTCGTCAAGTCTCAAGTCACAACTTTGTCTCTCTCTGTCGTAGTCTGAGAAGTCAGGTGGCGAGAGGGTGAGAAG